AAAATAGAGGTTTAAGATTTAACCTTTAAAGGGCTAGGATTAAAATTTAATTCAATGGTCAAGATCACTCTAAAACATCTCAATTCAAGGGTGGAAATGAGGTCAAAAATGCCACCCAAATTATGCCTATAAATAGGGGTGCATGAAATTAACAAAATGGCATGATAAATAGCTAAAAACAAGGAAGACTCTAGCAAATTTTCCGTGGAAATTCCCACTTGAAACCACCCAAAACCACCTCTAAATATCTTAAATCATCTAGCAAAGCAAGGAAAATAAGTTAGGAGCTCAAGAATTTCCAAGGGGAAAATTCTCAAGTTACGTTGAATTGGGGAAGGAAAAAGGAAGGAAGAGGCTTGTAAATTTTTCACTTTTTGGAGTATAATTGGAGCATATCTAGGTAATTTAACTTCACCTACACCACAAGCAAGTTCAATTTCATGCTAATTTAATGTTTAATTGCTTTAATTTGGATTTAATTGCATGAAATGTCAAAAATTAGGAATAGGGTTCTTGATGAATAAAAATTGGGAGAAATGAAATTGAACTTATAATTCATGTAATTGAGATTAAATCATTTTAATTAGGCTTGAAATTGAGGTCTAAAACTCAAAAATTCCTAGAGTTTCCATAAGGATACTATTTGGCCTAAATACCTAATTTGGAGGTTTTTGATTCATTCATGTAATTCATGTTCTAGAACTTGAATATAACTTAGTTAGCTTTGAGTTAGTGTTTAGAAATGAAAAACCCCACTTTAATTGAAGAAAAATCCATTAAAATTTCTAGAGTATATTTGGCCTAAAATGTGAATTTTAGGGTTTAAGTTTCGATCACTCAATTCTAGAATTTTTGGTTGATTTGAACTTGAATGGGTATTATTTGATGTGCTTAGAATGAAAAATTTGAAGAAGATTAAAGATAATAGGTTAAATGGACTTAGGCCTAATTTTGGCCCATTAAGGCCCAATTTGGGTTTAAGCATGAGTTTGTGCACTAAATGCTAATTAAATGGATTACTATGGTTAATGTGTATTTAGGATACTTGGTATTAAAATGGTAGGATTAAATGAGAAGAAAATCATGGGGTTTGAATTGGGAGGACATACGGCCTAAAATGGGGAAACTTGGGCTTTAGTTTTAAATGGCCTTTGACCCTTAAAATGATTAATTTGGAGCTAGAATAATGTAATAAGATTGATGAGGATGTAAAAATTTAATAGGAGCCAAACATTTGTCGAATTGAAAATTAGGCCTAATAAGGCCCAATAGGAAATTAATAAGTATAACTAGTTAGAAAATACATAAATAAAGTAATTTAATTAATTTAGAGCATAATTGATGTGAACTGGATGCTAGAAATTAAAAGAAAATGGTTAGGTAACACTAGAGTAAAATTTGGTTAAAAAGGAGAAAATATCGAACCTTGGTTTGTTTTGTGCTATTTTATGCATATTTATCTTCTCTTGATGTATGTTCAATGTATGTGAGGGATGTGACATAATGTGAATGATAGTAGTTTTATGTGGTTGAATGATGTGACATGGGATGTGATAATTAGAATGGTGTATATGAGATAATGTTATTAATGCCATTATATTGTTACTTTTTATATATTGCCTTGACATAGCTACATGATCATTTAAGGCATGCATATTATGTTTCAATGTTAGTTATGCATTTTCACTTAAAATGCATAAGCATGCCAAAGTTTATGAAAGATATTTTTAAGTCATGAAAATATGTATTACGTCATGGTTTTTCGATAGTGATTGAAAATGTTTTAAAGGATATGGTTTTTCATGACTTAAGGATTTTATTAGGAAAGGACTTCATGGGTTTTCCATATAGTAATGGCAATGGTTCAAGACTTGGCAAGTGCGGACATATACTTTTAAAGGCTTGATAGGGCACGTCGTTGGAGGGGTCTAGTTCGTTAGACATATGTTATGAAAATTCCGAAGTACTTAAATGGGACATGTCTAAAGACAAAAAATGAATTTTCATATTGTTTATGAAATGTTTTATGACATGAGGAAAAAAAAAAGATTTCTTATGCATATATCGGCATTTGATGCATGCACGAGTTAACTTGCCGAGTTGTCACCCACCTAGATATTTGTGGTGTAGCTAATACGAGTAAGAATGATGTTCATGACATTTGAATTGACTAACGAGGGGTCCAGCCATCGTACGGATGTTAGATGTGGTATGAGAATGGATCTCATACATACGATGACAATCATTGTACTAGGTAGTCTACTTTATAGCTATGGTAGTGTTCTTCTATGTAATAGTTGAAGTAATGAACTAGTAAATGAAAGAATAGTAGCAAGGAATGGCATAGTAGTAAATAAGCTAATTTTGTAGTAATTGGCATAAATATGATTTTGGTTGTAAATAGTAGATGTATGTAATTAAACTACTAATAGTAAAATGATAGAATATTAGTATTAGTATAGTTATCTTAAATTGTCATCGCATGCTAGTATCTTTAGAATATTTAAGTAAATTATGTAGACACTCGATAAATGAAAAGAATAATAAATAAGGAAGAGAATCAACACTATGATAATAGTAATAATAAGAAATTGTACCTGAATAAATGCGAAGCGAGTTAGTAAAGAAGGGATTTAAATTAATTAATAGCCACAAATCTAGCAATCCAATTTAAAGAATGTGAGTAAAAAGATTAAACATGAAAAAAATTTATAACGTCTTTTAATTCATATATAGGACCAAATCGTTGTTAAGAGACTTTCGCATCGTAATTTCATCTACACAAAATATAAATAGGTCACGGTGCCTTATTAGCTTACATTTATTGCATTTCGAATGTAGGTTAACGATGATAATATTTTTAACCTATTAAGTCCTATGTTGGGGGTGTTACATGAATCATGTTAGATTGTCCCCTCGTTATATCTTTTCCACTTTTATTAATGGATTGTCAAGGTATCGTCCCTATTTGATAAAAAAAATAAAAAATTTCATTGATCTTTAATAATACATGCTTTTCAATATCTCAAATTCCAACCTCCAACTATTTCTTTCTACACATTCTCTTAATAAGTAAAATGAAAAAAATAATGATATAATTTAGAGATTTAAGTATTATAAAATAGCTCATGCAAAACTAAAAAGAACAAAAAAGATTAAATTACCAAAAAATTTAAAATATATAAACTAAATAATTCATTTTAAAAACAAAGAGGACTAATTAATTCATTCTTCAAAAGTAGAAGGACTAATTTATAATATACTCGGGAAGGAATAAAGTTGAGTAGTGTACTTATTTTTTTTTTTATTAGAGAAATTTAAAGGTTTTTATTTATTTATTTTTTTTGGAGGGGGTGAAAAAATAAAAAGGAAAAAAAAATGTGGTGCGCTATTGAGTGAGAGAAGAGAAGAGTAATTTGAGTTAGAAGAAGAAGGAAATAGTCATGTAGTCCCTAGTAGGGCTATTAATGTTTTGATTCGTTAAATAAAACAGATTGAAACAAATTTTATAGATTTGGATTAGGTTTTGAGCAAACTCTATAGGATTTATCACTTGGTTTATAATAAACATTTATATTTACTATATTTAATACAATATATTTCAACCACTAAATGTGTACTAAAATATATTAAAATAATATTTCATATATCAATTGTGTAAAAAAAATCAAAATGTCACATAATTCAAAAACACAAAATTAAATAATCTTAATAAAAGTTTGTTTTGAACTAGGTAGAAAGCACGATAAAACTAAAAGAAAGCAATAATGAATAATGTTTATTTCTAGTTCACATGGCGACAAAATGAGAATTTATTAATTTCAATTTTAAGATAATAGTTCTACAAATCAAGGTAAGCAAAGAAAGAAAGAAAGAAAGAAAGAAAAAATCTATTAATATTATTATATATTTTTAGTAAGTTATTTTATAAACAATTATCGAGTACATGTCATTTTACTAATAATGGTAATAGCACATAACTAAATAATTACTAATATTCCATTTCCTTAACTTTTCTTTAAATCTAATTTTCATTGATTTCTTAATAATACAAGTTTTTTAGTATCTCAACTTTTAACCTTAAATTATTTGTTTCTACACCTTCTCTCAATAACTAGAATGAAAAATACATAATATAATTTAGAGATTGAAGTATTATAAAAAAGTTCATACAAAACAGTTTGTTGTCTACTTTTACCATCTCAATTTAGTTTGAGCTATAATTTTATGTCTAACATTAAAATACTAAAATGAGATGCAATTTATGAAAAATTGATTCCATATGCTACCATTCTTAATATCAAATTTGAAACAAATATACAATCATTTTTTAATATATTCATTGTTGAACTTCACAACAACTTCTATCCTAAAAAATAAACATGTAAAAAAAATAAAATAAATAATAATGTTAATAATTAGTTAATACATAAAGAGTTGAAAATATAATGAGTTTAAGTAAATGAAATATTATAGGTTTTTTTATTTGGGTTCAAAAGCCAATCACTTATAATAGTTGTTCTCTTCACAATTTCTTAAAGTAAAAATGCACTATAATCATCACTAATTCTATTTTCTGTATATAGTTTTTTTTTTCAAAAAATACAGTCATTACTATAGCAAAATATTCATTATTTGAACTTTAAAATAAATAAATTCTAAATTTCCATCTAATCTTATATTTACTTATTTTTTATATTTAAATTTTTAATTTTTTAAGTATTATATTGATTAAAAAGTATATTTTTAATTTCGGATGAAATTATTATGGAATGGGATTAAAGTAGATCTGTTTTTCATTTTTCTAATAAACGGATTAACGAATGTGGATTATACTCAGATTCCGATTAAAAAAGTTTATTTACCAAAGTCATTTACTCATATTTAGATCAGATTTGGGTCAAGATCGATTCATTAACAATACTAGTACCTAGATTGCACATTCCAACGCAACCGACGGGTGGTCAACAACTCAGCGGCACCGCCGTGAATCAAGCGACATGGAGGCATCGATATCTGCCGTGGAAAAAATCCTAAACTACAAATTCAAAAACAAAAGGCTTCTGGAGGAAGCACTAACACACTCCTCCTACACAGACTCAGTGTCTTATCAGCGACTGGAGTTCATAGGCGACGCGGCGCTTGGTCTTGCGTTAAGTAATCATGTGTTTTTGGCTTACCCTCACCTGGACCCTGGTCATTTGTCTCTACTGCGTGCTGCTAATATTAGTACTGAGAAGCTGGCTCGTGTCGCCATTAAGCATGGTCTTTATAGATTTGTTAGACACAACGCCACTGCTCTTGATGATAAGGTAATTATTATATATTCCATAATCATAATAATAATCATAATCATAGTTAACTAGTAATTCTGAATTAAATATAGGTTAAGGAGTTCAGTGATGCTGTGAGTGGAGAAGATGATGCACTAGTATATGGTGGGTCAATAAAAGCACCAAAGGTTCTTGCTGATATTGTGGAGTCCGTGGCTGCTGCTGTTTATGTTGATGTCAATTTCGATCTTCAAAGGCTTTGGGTGGTCTCTTCCTTTCTTTCCTAGCTATTCTTTCTTCTATCTATAATCTATTCTATTGCACAACACAATAACAATCTTGTATTATTCATTTTTAGATATTTAGGGGTGTTTTGGAGCCAATAGTTACACTTGAAGATTTGCAGCTGCAACCACAACCGGTGACTATGTTATTTGAGCTGTGTCAAAAGCAGGGAAAGCATGTCGATATTAAACATTGGAAATATGGGACCAAAAATATTGCTAGTGTCTATGTAGATGGAAAATTTGTAACTTCCAGTTCGTCTGAGCAGAAAGAAATTGCAAAGCTTAATGCCGCCAAAGGAGCTTTGCTTAAATTATCTAACTTACTCCCTACTAATGTAAGTGTGTCGCTTCTTGATATTTTTGATGGGTCTTTCGAGATTGAAGGAGCCAAACAGAAGTTACATGAACTCTGCAGCAAGAAACAATGGCCCAAACCAAATTACAAGTATATATTTCTCCATTCATTTACTATTTCTTCGGTTGATTTTCTTTGTCTTTTCATGATTTACTTTCTCTTTAGTAAACCCACGCAATAAATTCTGTGGTGAAGTTGTAGTATAACATGGAGAGTACATGCTAAAATTACACTATACGTTTTATTGAATGTTATGCCAGTTTGAAATTTAGTTCTGTATTATGCTGTGTGTTCCTATCATTAATTTTTTAACTTTAATAGCATTTTATTCATTGTTTTGCTGGGATAACTTTGCTTGACAAAAGAACCAACCATTAATTTGCTGTTAATTCTACTTGATGTTTTGTTCTCCCCTTAAGCAAGTTGTACCAGTCTATTTAGGAACTTTCAGTTTTGCTTTAGTAGCTGTGCGGAAATGGCAAGGTAAAAAACATGTTAGCATATTAGAATTATATTGTTTAACCAATTTCAAGAGACTTTTTGAGGCTTGATAAGGCAAGATCAAGTAAGCAGGTTTTATTAGCTGCTTAAACCATCTTCAAATGCCTTTTCTACTTTATATTGTTGCTAGCTAGCAGCAGTTCAAATTTTGTTCAAGAGATCTTAATGATGTTTATTGCTGTCCTTTTTTCTGCAGAAATCTCCTCTTTGTTTGTCTTTTCCTTCTAATCTTTTTGGCATTTTCCTTTTATCTAGTTTTTATAATTATATTTCATTTGCAAATTGGAAACCGTGCTTCATGCTTTTGATAGCTCAGAAGCATAAGTCAGAGCTTTGAAAATATGCTTTTGAATATTGCATGTGGTTTCTGGCTCTTACTCATCTAATATATGCTGGAGAAGTTCAATTAGTGCCCGAGACTGAATTTGTCAATAGCTTTGGAGCCAAATGGCTTCTGCTTCCTCCAAATGTGGTGGATGTGAGGTCGAAAATTCAATCTATTTAGGATGGTGGCGGGGCATCTTACAAAAAATATTCCTTTCAGAAATCAATTCCTTTGTACCATATATCAACCTATGAAATATCGGTTTAGGTGTTCCATTCTGCTTTGAGTCTTATTTCTTGGGAAATTTACTTGTTTTAGCATAGGACCAAAAACATGAAGGTGGTTAAAAGTATAACAAACATAAGAAGCACCCTTTAAAGATATTTTTTAACCTCAAAGGATACAGAGAGTGAGATAATTTGCAGGGATGATTGCTGTATTTAATTTTAATTTTGTTATTTTTTGTTAGGGAAATGATGATTTGCTACTTGATAGATTCACCTACACTTTCCATCAAACCATGCACATATAATTTGAATGCTTTACTTTGGTTTCTCACGAACTATTTACTCTTTGCTAATCTTCTATCTTTTCCACCTGTTTTTTCACAGTTTGTGATAATGTTTATTTTTGTCTCTTGAAAATGTAGCATTGACAAAGATATGGGTCCTCCACATGAGAAGAAATTTGTATGCTCAGTTCAAATTGCAACTCTAGATGGTGTTCTATACATGAAGGGAGATGAAAGAACAAGAGTAAAGGATGCAGAAAATTCTGCAGCTTCGTTAATGATCCGTGCTTTGCAGGACACAGAGTATCTGTGATTCTGTGCATCTGTTTGACTCATATCTGCTACATGGACTATTCCTCTGCTTCTATCAAAAATCAAGTGAACATTTTTGGTCTCAAGGCTGTATTTTTCTAAACTATCTGCCGATAGTGTTTGCAAGAATTACCTGGATCTTTGCATATAGCCACTATGCACAAACCTCTGTGCTGGATTAGCCTGTGATATTAGGTACACTGAAGGTGATTTTCATTTAGCTTCGGCCTGATTGATGTTTTGATGCGCGGTTCTATTCAGGAAAATTCTCTTTATTAAGCAAGTTCAAAGTATTTTCTGCCCCATACCTACTGAGGTATGTATAAGAAACTAGTTAGATATGTGACATTTGTATTTCGGTGTTCTTCTCCGGAAAATGAAGCTTGCTGTTTAAGGTTTAGCTACAAGTTAGGTAAAAAGGCACTGTTCTGTGACTTTTTACTCTGCTCTGGCCAAGATGGATGGAAGTAGTTTAGTGACTACCCGAACTTTGGTTGCCAAGAAAACCCGATCATATAGCTCCAACAAAAGAAATACATTTTAGGAATGACAGTATCCAAATTATGAAGCCCCTGGTTGCAGTTGCGTCTCTCCAAATACAATGAACTTGGTGCTTTGGTTATGTTTAAATCCTGGATAATGGTGCAATATGGTACTGAAACCAAATGCCGCCGCTGAGGTTCAGATCTTTAAACTTGATAGATGTTGATTCCAAACAACATCCAGCTTTCTCAGCAACCATTATATGATTGACTATTTTGGTCCATGAGAGCTTTTTTAATTATTCTATGTGATTGTTTTTTTTTTTAAAAAAAAAAAAAACTGTTAGACATGTTTTCTGTGTCTGTTTAGGCCAACTTATTTTTCTTTCTTTTTATAGAGTTTTTGCTCAGTATATGTAATGCATTTTACTGCGGCTTGTTACGATGTAGTTTATATGTTCTTTTCTGTCTTAATTGTTAATACAGATAGAATATTCAAGCTATCTTCATTTTGAAGGAGTCTTTAAGTGTCAAAGAAGTTCCATTGTTTCAACAACGGTCTTCCTTGACCTCACGTAAATCTTCAGATTCTGCCCATCAATGGACAGCCCTGGCAGCATCCGGTCTAAACCATGCCAATCCATGTCAAAGAACTTTTCATGTCCATCTTTCTTGCTGGATCACATAAATTTGAGAAATAATTAATCAATGAGGATTTAATAAGTTTAGCCCAAATCTAATACATAAAAATAAAACCCTAATAATAAAATTCAATCCATATAAGTATCAAATAAACAAAACATAAAAATTAAAGGATAGGAGCCAAAATCTTTCTACTATGGATGCCTAAATATTCAGCCATGGTGAAGGAGGAGACACTCCTACATCATACTCCCTTAATTTGAGAAGAGTTGACCTCAATGTCTTAGGCTATGTCTTCTTCATCTAGATAAGTATATAGACTCGCCTTCTTGAATATGTATGAAACCAAGTAAGCTCCGGGTAGGCTAACCGTATGCGAATGCTCCCCCATCCTCTTTATGATTACGAACGGACCTTCAATCTCATCTCGGTCTTAACAAATCTATTCTTGGATAATTTCTTTCTCTTCATGTTTTCTCATACTAAGTTTTCCTTATGGTAAATTGCTTTAGAGCGAAACTTAGAGACTTCAACCTATGATTCTCAATGGCATTTTTTGGAGAAATTTCTACGTGATTCTAAAGTTGTTTCTCTAAGATACCTAATGGAGGGGTCCAACAATTGATGCAATATGATGTCATAAAAAAAAAAAATAGTTGGGCTTTAGAAATAAAACTTGGAATTTTGGCATGGTATTAATTTTGGAAAAAATAAAAAATTGAGGAGATAAACTTTTAGGATTAAACTAGAAGTGGAACCTTCCCTCGGAAAGGGTGTTTTTTGGTAATTGATATCTTTTCAAAGGCATAACCGACTTCTTGTCTAAGAATCTCTAAATCAATGCTCATTTTAAGATCCTAGTCTCTTTAATACCGGTGGTGACTCCAAATTTAATGAACTCACTTTCCTAAACAAACAAGATTTTCAATAAATAAATCTTAAATGTTAATTTTTGAGAGTTACGCAAAAAATGGTAGCAATAAGCAATATTAATTTCCTTACTTGTAATTTTTAGATAATGTTGAGACAGATTTGGGTACACAATTTTTACTAACCTAAATAAGACCCTATTAAACATTTTTGACCCGAAATTTTGAATGCTTCTACTACTTTATGTTAGGTAGATTGTGGTAAACTTTTAACTTGTTTGCATTAGTTTATCCAAGGGAACTCTTGCACCCTAGTTGGGTAACTTTGGGTGCCTTATTTACTAAGTTTATTTTGTGTTTGGGATTGAGTAGAGGATTTGATTGGTTGTGGATTTTGCATTATTATTTCTATATGTATTGCACTAGAATAGCCTAGAGGGAATCTATCTTGTGATTATTGATTGAGCTTCCATAAGGCTTTGTGAAAATCACATTATTATTGATAAAACGGTACAAAATTTAATGTTAATTGATGATGAAACACAATTGAGTAAGTAGATATTAGTAATCGATGGGTAATTATAGTACCAAATATCATACGAAATAAATTACGAGAAAGAAAAAGAACAAATAAATTTATATGTTAAGTTATATAATGAATTTCAATTACTTATATTACATGACGTGTATGTTTAAGGTATTGAATCGTGTTGAGCTACTAATTATTTGAGAAAGATTTTGATAAATGATATGTGTTTAATGTGAATGATGTGATGTGATTGATTATGAGGTTTATTCATAGGCATACATATGTTTTACATGTTAAAGGTGATGAAATGAAATGTTTAAAATAAAATAATGAGGTGCATGTGTAAATTATATTTTACGATAGAAAAATATTTTGAATGCATATTAGGGTTTTAACGTCAAAGGTGTAGGCTAACCATTGAGGTTAATTAATGACATTGAACTAGGCTACAAGTTCTTTGGTATTGATGTTTAATGTTGGGGTTGCCTTTTAAAGCTTAAATGTTAAGTTTTGAAGGTTAAGACTTCATTATTAAATGTTGAGGTTAATGTGACTACATGTTTATTCAAGCTAGATCACACTAGCCTAGTGGCCACAGTGAGGCAACTCATCAATAAAGGAAAGTCAAACTTAAGGACTATGATGTGCTAGCTTGGCATCTTTTAGTAGGCCTACATAAGGAGTTTTTTTTTTTTTTTAAAAAAATCTATATAATGAAAGTTTTTAATGTAAAATTATGCATGTAGCACTTATAGGATATTCATATCTCATGCTTGTTGTATGGTGTAGGTACCAAAGCAAATGCTAAAAATATTGATACTTGCTCTTGGTAATTAGTGACTCATGTGCTTGCCTTTGAGTGTCTATAAAGGAATGATGAATGTATTATGTTTTAATGAATGAATATGCATTTATGTATAATTATACAAGGTTTAAGATTGCTTTTATGAATATTAGGTGTAAGAATGTTATGTCTTTGATTGTTTGAAATTATTGCTTAGCAATTTAGTATGAACAACAAGGTAGATATTATTTATGAATATTGAGCGATGATGAAGGATGTTTTAGAATTTAAGTATGAATTGTGGTAATGATGTTGGGATAGATTAAAGATCAATTTTAACTAAATTCTTGTAATATTTTAATACGATAACCATGTAATTATATTATTTATGATATTTTTAATTAATATATTTAATGATGAATGATATTAAATTAGGAATAAAGTTTGAGGATAATGAGAGGATATAGGTTTTAGTAACGACTCGTCTAGTTGTGGCCCTTCGGGTAAGGCATCTCTAGTGACATGCATTATATTTTGGTATCGAGCAAAATAGATTTTGTAGATATAATTAGAAAATAAGGTTATCAATTTTGTAGAAATAGGTAAATATTGAATGTTTGAACTACGATGGTGCATAAGAGTACAAGGCCTAGTTGTAATGTCAACAAATAAGTGGTTTCCTACTTTCTATTAATTATAAAATTGAGTTGAAGAATGTATATGATATGTATAATGATATTTATGTCTTCTACTAGTTTAAATGATATGTTGATGATCATGTAATAGGATTTTAGAATTTAAACCAATAATGAATAATGATATGATAGAATGCTAAGGTTGAACAACTAACTAAATAAATGATGATTGTTGTTGAGTTAGAATGAAGATTAAATTTATCGACTCGGTTCTAAAAAGATATCTATGAGAGAATTTATGATGTTTGGAAATAAAAGGAAATTCAACCTAAGATTTATGGTCAATCAAAATGATACTACAATAGTTTGTGTTAACTTTATAACTATTGCAAATATTGCACATGATTTGATACATTAAAAAGAACAAACACATTTATATCGAGGTCTTTCGTAAGAAGATTAAGTGTGAAAAAAAAAATGTTAGAATCTCTTTGTGAAGTAAAGTTACTTGCTAGGGATATAATGGAGTCGATGGACTTTGTGAGCGAGATGAGAGCTTATGATTGGAGGGAGGTCAATAGAAATGAACTTGGTAGTTCTTAGTCTTAAGGATTTTGATATAATACTATGCATGACTTGTTTGTAAAATTATGAAGTTAGAATTGACTATAGATCAAAGGTGGTAACATTTTAACCACCTTGCAAAAGCCTTTAGAGTTTAGAGTGAGTGAATAGGTGAGGTTGGTATCAATGGTGTCTCCTATGAAGGAGATGCGGGAGAAATCAAAGGATATTGAGATAGTGAGGGAATTTGTAGATGCTTTTCTAGAGCACATGAAAGGGTTACCATCGGTGAGAGAGATTGATTTTGAGATAAAGCTAGAGTCGAGAACTGTTTTAATTTCCAAGCTTCTTTAAAAGATTACTTTTATGAATATTAGGTGTATGAATGTTAAGTTTCTAAATGCTTGAAATTATTGCTTAGCAATTGAGTATGATACCAAAGTAGAGATTATTTATGAATATTGAGCGATGAAGAAGGATGTTTTAGAATTTAAGT